GCCTCCGCGATCGCAAACCCGGAAGAAGCCTCTGGTTGCTGGACTGTACCAGCCGGCTTGGTATTGCCATGCAGCTCGAAGAGGTAGGTCTGGTTCCCGCTCCAGCGAGGGAGCCGAGACTGACCCGCTGGCTGCGGAGAGGCAGTGGGATCTTGGCACACCTGACAGCTTTGGGCTTCACCATCTTTCTGACTGTGCTGTCCCGGCCAGGAACCAGTGAGTGTGCGAGCAGGGGCGGGGCCATGGAAGGGGCGGAGCCTAGGTGCCGGAGGGGCCGCTTTGGGGAGCTGGGAAACTAACCCCTCAATCGAGGAGGGGCGGGTCGAGGAGTGGTTGTAAAGGCCTAGTGGGCGGGTCCCCGGAAGTCCTGGGAGGGTGGCACTTGAAAAGACAGAACTGACACTTTATTAGAATGAGGTCCCTTGTGGAAAAGCATGAGGCGGGTCGGGGCCGACTAAAGTCTAGTGTAGGACTGGAATGGCATCATACGCAGAACCCAGGTTAATGTGGTGTAAGGACCCTTTGGCCGCCATCCCTTTGTGGTGAGTTCCTGATTTTTGCGTAGGCTTGAGACAGTATGCTGACCTTTCCCTTGTGGCCAGGTTTTTTGCAATATCCGTGATGCCCAGCCGTCAGACTATTCTCTTTGATTCTTACTTAGGTCTTTTCTCCTGGCACCCTGTGTTCATGGCCTTGGCGGTGAGTTTGGATATACTTAGCTTAATCCTTGGGGAAACATTCTGGTTTTCAGCCTTTTTAAGGATCAGAGAGATGGGGGATAGAGGGCTTCATCTATACCTTTACCTATAGGATTGGGGAAAATGGAGTAAATTGTCGGGGGCCTGAGGTTGGGGAAGGGGATATTTCCCCTCTAGGACCTGAAAGGAAGATGTGAGAGGGATTGTTATCAAGGCCTTGCTCTCAGAATTCAGGAGAAAGTTTGGCGTTTGTTGTTCTATGATCCAGAAACAGTATGTGTGAGGCTGGAAGTCCTTTAAGCGTCTCCATGTTTTTCTGGATGTGTGAGAACACCCCCTTTTTTCTCAGGCTTCATGCAGACTAGATGCTCACTGGCCTTTCTCCCGTGTTTACAGTTCTGTCTCTGCATGGCTGAAGCCATCCTACTCTTCTCACCTGAACACTCCCTGTTCTTCTTCTGCTCCCGAAAGACCCGGATTCGACTCCACTGGGCAGGGCAGACCGTGGCCATCCTCTGTGCTATCTTGGGCTTGGGCTTCATCATCTCCAGCAAGATCCGCAGTGAGCTGTCCCATCTGGTGTCCTGGCACAGCTGGATAGGCACCCTGACACTGCTGGCCACTGGGGGACAAGCACTGTGTGGGCTCGGCCTCCTCTGTCCAAGGGCAGCCCGGGTCTCAAAGGTGGCTCGCCTCAAGCTCTACCATCTGACATGTGGCCTGGTTGTCTACTTGATGGCTACAGTGACGGTGCTCTTGGGCATGTACTCAGTGTGGTTCCAGGCCCAGATTAAAGGTGCAGCCTGGTACCTGTGCCTGGCATTGCCGCTGTACCCGGCACTGGTGATCATGCACCAGATCTCCAGCTCCTCCAGGCCCAGATTAAAGGTGCAGCCTGGTACCTGTGCCTGGCATTGCCGTTCTACCCGGCCCTGGTGATCATGCACCAGATCTCCAGCTCTTACTTGCCAAGGAAGAAAGTAGAAATGTGAATGCCTCTGAACTCTGAACCTAGGTGAGATTCTTGCCTTGGACTTCAGCAGTTCCTTGATCCTCAGGGGACCCACTTCAGAAGCAAAGTTTTGTACTTCATGGCTGAGCCAAAGAGTGCAGAAACCCTAGCTGCTACTGCTGAGGGGTGATCTGGTGGGCTCCAATGGGGAAATGTATTACTGGGTGCAAGTGGAAGGTTCTGGAGAAACTGAAGCCTCACTCTTGATGGCTTCAAGAAGGATTAGGTGGTGGTGGTGATGGGATGGTGGTGATGACTTGCTTATGTGCCTGATGAAGAGTTGAGTTCCTCTTGGTTATGAATAACAGCCACAGATATTGGGGTCCCTTCTGAAAAGGCAGTACTGTGGAGAGCCCATGGTCTCTTAGGCTGTGTTGTACAATCAACCTTAGACAAGTTCCATCTCAGGACCTCAGTTTCTTCATCCGAAAGGCCCTTACCTTAACATTTAGTGTCTGGCAGAATGATGTCACTGGATACCCTCTTAGCTCTGGACCATGCAGACAGCTCAGGATGTAATTCTTTCATCCATTCCTCCTTTGCTCTCTTGGAAGGACTTCTCCATACTTGTACCCTTCGGAATTCTGTGCTGACTTGACTCCTGAACCAAGGAACAAGGGCCACGAATCATGGAAAGAAGGGACTGTGGTGAGGGTTCCCGGACAGTAAGATAGTAAAGGCACAAAAGTCACTTTAAAGTTCTTTGGAGGAACAGGAGGGAATTGGCCTTAACCAAACCTAGACTCTTGGACTCCTTAGCTCAGCTAAGAACTTCTTCAGGCTACCTCTGGGTCTAGACTGTAGAGTCTGGGTATGCTCCTGACATCCATTCTCAGGGTAGAGTAGTTCTGGGCATCTTATACTTTGCCCATAGGGCTTAGAGGATTTACTTAGCACATTTCTCCAGAGAACTATTCTGAAGCTTTCAGAACAAAATAAAAACCAAGCAGTGGGACCCTCTTGATCCAAGAAACACAGTGTTTCCCTGGTTGCCCTTCCCTCCTTTTCATTTAAGGTTCCCTTAGTTGTTGTCTCCTGCCAGTCCCTCGGCTTAAGAGTGGGATGATTTCAGTACCAACTGGGCTCTCTTCCCTACCAAGATACCTCCTTGGTCCAACTGAGTTCCCCAGAGCATCCTTGGTGGTGAGGGCTGATTGTCAAACTGGTTAGCTGTGGTGTGGGTCAGTCCAGGAGACGGGCCTTGTATAGATCCTAGTAAGGACTGGAGACTGCTGATCCAGGAAAGGTACCCGTGCAACTTTCTATCTGGGAGGCCTGCAGTACAGGGGCTGGAGCACCAGGTCTAGAGACAAAGGAAAAGTGTCAGTTGTCTGTCTCAGATCCTCTGAAGATTTAAGGCTTCTCCGGGTGACTCAGAAACAAGGCGGGTGGGATTCAATAGTACAGGAATGGGGACCGTAGGGCAGAAGTGTCCTGTCAGTGGACCTCACCATGCTTTTTCCCTGGGAGATAGCATCTCTCATCAGCTATCTAAATACAACTTACTGAACAGAAGCGCCTGCAGTGCAGAGAGGAACCATTCTTGTTTTTTGTTTTTTTGTTTTTTGTTTTTTTCAATGCCCTCTCTCCCTGTCAAGCTATCCAGTGTACTGCGGGCTTGGAAGGAATGGTTACTGGGCCACATGAAAGAGATTCTCACTAGGGTCACTTTGATGCCAGGCTCTTTCTCCTTCCCACATCAAGGCCAGTTCTGGGGGGCTCCCCAGGGTGGGCCAGGTAAGGTTCAGCAGCCTGTTCTCAGAGCACAGAGGCAATGCCGGAAAGCCTGAGCCTGCCTGAGGTGTTGCCTCCTCCCAGGTGGTGCGGGGGCTGGTGGGCGGGCAGGCAGGCGTGCTGACAGCCGGCAGTTTGCGTGGGCTGTGCCATCTGATGTCTATTCCCAGCCCTGGGAGGAAGGGGAGTCATTTATATTCTGCAGGAAGAAGGGACCCAGCTGTCGCTTCCTCTGACCAGTGGGCCTGGAGGACATTCGTGCAGAGCAGAGAGGAGGGCACAGGTAGCGGTGGTCTCCTTCTTAGGGATCTGACTGCAGTATAGGGAGCAGGTCACCAGGATGAGCCCTTCTTGCTGGTAGGCCAGATTGTGGGGGGAGGGAGGACTTCCCTCCCCTCCTGTCTTTCCACTTCTGCATCACCACCTGCCCTCACATCCTGGGGCAGCAGCTGGACAACCAATGGACCTCAGTGCCAGGGTATTCTTCCTCCAGCTGGGATCTGTGGCTGCCGGCTGCATATGCCTCCTGGCTGTGTGCTCCTCTTCCCCACACCGTCTGCCCCTTCCTCTTTGTATCTTCCAGTGTCTGGATACTACCTAGGCTTTTCAGCAGCAAGGCAGGGACTGTTGGGGGAGGGGGCACATGGCTATCCTTCACCGGTGTTCCTTGACTAGGGGAAGCTGCTACCAGTCAGCTTGTTTTGCTTTTTAAAGTGGGGTGGGAGATGACACTCAGGATGCTCAAGATTTAAAAGTCGCCCATCATTTGCACAAATTTCCATATCGTGCTAAGTCCTGTTCCATATTTGATTGTGGTCCAAGCTTGATTATACTCAGACTCAACCTTGAGGGCATTAGAAAGAGTTTTGTATCAAATCCAAATGGTAATGGGCATACTGTTCAGGTCTAGAGTCCTCTCAGGAGCCCCTTTGTTCCTGTATCCTCCCTTTTCTGTGAGTCCCATTGGGGTTGGGGGTGGCAGTAAATGAATGACAGGAGCTCAGCATCTGAGAACTCTTGCTTCCTTCTCTGGCTGTCATCCCCGTCCAAGATAGGCTGCTATCACTCGTCAGCCGGTGCTTTCTCTCCCCCTCCCAAGGCAGACCACCCTTCCTCCATGACACTGGCCTACCCTGTCTCTCATTGTCCCCACATTTCCACCCCCATGCATGGCTGCTGTGGGTCTTGTTTTTTGAACCTCACTGTGGGAGATCCAGGCATACCCCCTGAGCCAGCTGGCTGCTGTGCCAAGGCCTGTTCAGAGTTAATAATAATCATTAGTTGAATGGCGCTGGGGCCTTTCAGCTCCAGATCTCTAAGCACTTGCAGGCTGACTCAGCCAGCCTTCACCTTCCCCCTCTTCTGGGCTTTGGAGTGTAATAGCATGGGAAGGCACTGTGGGAGAGGGAGTCTGGATTCTTGCTGCCTGACCATGCCTGAGGATTTTCTCTGAGAGTAAGCAGTGAGGCCAAGGTACACAGAGAATATAGTATGCTCAGCAGAGACCACCATGGCTGTGGTAGCTGATAACCCCAGACCTCTAGAACTCCTGTGTACTTGCCTTGGCCTCTGCAAGGCACTCCACCTGAATGCCCTTAGGCAAGCTTAGAGAGCAAGAAACTTTCTGGGTTAGTACCCCCAATACCCTTGTCTGTGACTGGCACAAAACAAAAAACAAACAAACAAAAAAAAACTATGTGTCATGAACTGAAAGGTTCATCAGCCTGGACACCGAGAAAGCTGCTATATAAATGTCTCAGCTCCTAACACTGGGTGGCATAAGCAAACTATTTGCTTCTCATCCTACCTCACAGGGATGTTGTGAGGGTCAGACAAGAGAACAAGGTTCAAAGCATTAAACAAATGGAAACCAGATGGCTGTTCTGTCCTTTTCTCTCCCTGAGCCTGGCTCTGGGGTTTATGTTTCCTGAAGAGGCAATAAATAAATTGTGGGAGATGATGCTCGGGGGACCCAAGTCTCAGAAGGGCTTTGGGGGCCATATAACAGCCGCATTTCTTACTTTGGGGTGCATGGTCATCTCCTGTCTCTCCATGCAAGAGAGGCCACCAAAATCATGGTTACTGAAGTTTGTCTTGCATATTGCTTACCCAGTGCGGTCAAGCCACAGAGCTGATTGCAGATTTCTGTCAGTACAGCTTCCTCCAGGTCTAATAGGATGGGTAAGGTCTCAGCCTGGAGCTCTGGTCATAACTTATCTAAATCTCTCCTTCCTAACTCTGCCCGTCTAAAGGAAGAGTGGGATACAAGGAAGGAAGGGTCAATAGTAGTGATCACTGCAGCCAGACATGGTGGCAAATGCCTTTAATCCCAGCACTCAGGAGGCAGAGGCAGGTGGAAGTCTGTGAGTTCAAGGCTAGCCTTGTCTACAAAATTCCAGGACAGCCAGGGCTACACAGAGAAACCCTGTCTCAAAAAACAAAACAGTAGTGATCACTGCACCACCACCCTGACCCTGCTTCCCCTCTGCAGCCTCAGGCCTATATTCTAAGAACTAGGGATATGATACTGTGAGGCCACATGTCTTCTGGCTTCCAGAGATCTACAACTCCAGGTTCTCTTTTCTGTTTAGGCTCTTGGAGTAATAGCACAATCTTCTCTCCTGAAAATGCTTTGCTGGAATTAGCACACAAGCACCTGTACACATATGTGAGCTCGAGCGCGCGCACGCGCGCGCACACACACACACACACACACACACACACACACACACACACGTAGCTCTATGTAAACTTTCAGTTAAAAGGAGGGATACTTTCTATTCCATTTGTCTGAGGGCAGGCAGCGTTTGGCCCAGAGTAGATGAAGGCAAGCAGAACCAACAGTAGCAGGCAGGCTTGAACATTTGTCTTTTTATCTTAATTGTTTTTTCTGTCCTGGGATCCAGGAATGAAACACTAGTCTAGCCTTAGCCATTCTTACCAGAATGGCACAAAGAAGACAGAAGCTGAAAGTGGGAGAGCAGTGCCCCAGAGCTGCCCTGGGGGGTGGGAGGGGGGAGTAGATGGTCAGTACTGGGCGGGGCTTAACGCAAACAAATTACCTCTGGTGGGACTACCTTATCCCAGAAAGCTTGGCTAGTCACAGATGTGGTCAGGGAACAGCAGTCCATTATTAACCAGCCAGCCATTGTCAGAATTTCCCAAAGAGGATTTTAACCTGCTAATGAAGGAACCATTTCAGGCTAGTCTTGTATCTGGTGGATTTTGTGTCACTGGTGACATGAGTGGCTCCTAGGACCCTATCTTTGAAATAGGTTCTCAGTTATCTCCCAATATGTCCTTGCAGTGATAGTTAGACCACACCTAAAGTAAAGCAAACCAAGTGAGGGAGCAGTGGGAAGGGAGGAGAAGCTCTACCTCAATCCAGCCCTCTCCAACCTGCACATAATCTCAACTATGCTAGTGCAGAAGTTGCCTAGTAGGACTGCATGTTCTGGTTTACTGCGGGATGCCTCTCAGGCCATAGTTCTATGCCCTGTGTGCTCCAGGGACAGGAATGAGGCTGGCACACACCTGAAGGGAAGGCCTCAGGGCAGTTCTAAGGATCTTAGCCATTTGATATCTTCTCCTCGTCAGTGTCTGAGCCTGATGAAAGTGCTTGACTTTTAGCCTTCTCTTTCAAAGCCCTGGGAGAGGAAGCAGCCAGCAGACTCCCTGTGGCCTGACCAAAAAAGCCGACTGTCCTTACTGCAGGGCCTGAGCTTTTTTTGCCATGTGGGTGGGGAAAGTACAGCATCACCATTGGTTGCCTAGGAGACAAGATAAGTGGTACAAATACAGAAAGGGGAGGAGCTGAGAGACCAGGTGGAAGAAAGACTAGGTTAGCTCCTACACTGGACTCTCATTCTGTCACATCAGCCTTCTCTGTGCCCCCTGAAGTGCTGCCTGAGGAATGAGGGAAAGCCCTGCAAGGCCTGACAGACAAATTGCATGTCCTGACCACGATCCAAGGAGCTTGTGGCTTAGGAGTGAAGTGATCAGAAAAAGCAGGAGACATAGGTTTGGAAGGTGAGCAAGCTCGAAAACATAAAAGGGGGAATTCCAAGCAGTCTTCCCAGCCTGTTCTCTACCAGCACTGTCCTCTTAACCAGGGGGTTAGCCCTAGCAAAAGCAACTTTGTAAAGATGACAACATACACAGATGTGGACTGTGCGAGAGCTCTGACCTCAGCATCTGTGTGTCACTTACTGACCATGTGACTGGTGGTGGAGTGGCTCCACTATTCCTCCCAAAGTGAGAAAGACAACCTCCCAGACAGAAGAGGGCTGCAGTGGCTCAATTTCATACACATAATAGGTTAGGGTAATTATATATGTTCTCCCTCTTTGCTCTCCCATCCAAGTCAAACCAGAAATGACCCTACTTAGCTTCTAAGATCAGCTGAGACCTGGCACGTGTAGGGTGGTAAGGTTCTAGACCTCATCTTCTTTAGATCTACCACAACAACCCCTTCCAGAAGCCTCAAAGGCCTAGTCAGAGTATACTCCAGTCCAGTTTCTGGTAGGATATCTCTATAAAAAAAAGTAAAAATTTCATTTTTTTCTATTCTGCAGAATACTGACTGCACATGAAACAGTCACTGAGTATTAACATACCCATTAGATGAATATGCTTTTAGCCCAAGATGAAAATATCCTGGTAATAATCAAAATTTTATGAAAGTGAGCTGTTTCCCACCATTAAGGAAAAAAAAAGCAACCTTCCAACCCCGAGCATTTTTTTCCCATTGTACCAATTAGAAAGCTTGATCTAGCCTTTAAGAGAAGCCTTTAGGGAAGCAACCTCCTCCTTAGGGACCTAGAAAATCATCATTATGTACAAGCCTCAGCCCAGGGTATCTAGACTCTTGCTTGCTCAGGCACTGTGATGCTGCTTTTGAGTCTCTGTCTCTGGGGTTGGAAAACTATGGCCTGTTCGGCAGACCAACCCCCCTGCCTGATTTTGTGTGGTCTGTAAGATTGGCAACTTTTACAATTTTAACTGGTTGAGACAAATTCAAAAGACATTAACATTTTAATACCCATAAGTAAAATTTCACTGGATCCTATGTTTCGGCAGTGATTTGAATAACTACCTAAAGGATTCATGTCCTAGACGATTGGACCCTAGCTGAAAGGTGAAACCTTTGAGACATAGGGTCTGGTGAGAGATGATTAGGTCACTGCGGGCACCATCCTTAGGAGACATTAATGTAGTTCTCACAGGACCCTGGTTAGTCCTTACAAGAGCAAATTGCCATAAAAAGAACAAACCAGACCCTGGATCTCCCTTGCCTCCTGCCTCACCACGGGGTCCCTCTGCATGCCCTCCCGTTATTGTGATGACATATACCACGAGGCCTTCATGACATGCACAACAAATACAAGCACCAGATCTTGGACTTTCAGCCTCCAAAACCCTTTTTTGTTCCCTCATAAAATACTCTGTCATAGGCATTTTACTGTATCAAATGGAGTACTACAATGAGACAGAACCAGTCATTCATCTATATACTGTCTGTGGACATTTGTCTGCTATAGCAGTGCAGTTGAGGTTTAATAAATGGTGAGGCCTATAAAGCCTAAAATATTTACTGTCTGGCTTATAAGAAAAAGTTTGCCAATCTCTTGTCCAATCTCAGTGCCTGGGTGATACATATTTCATACTTAATTCCCAGATGATACAGATAACACTTAAAAGGGAGTCTTCTCTTTAGATATGTCACACCCTTTTGAAGTATGCTGAACTCACCCACAGGCTAAGATAAATAAACCATCACAAACTGTGCCAGAGCAGAGACTCAAGCCAGGTTTAATGGTCATTGTCTACTGATAGAGCCCATTGGCTCCGAGGTTCGCCAGCCTGGTATACATAGTGGGAGGAAGAGTCCTAGACACAGGAAAAGGAATTACAGAGGCAAGAACACACACAAAACCAGACAGTTGGCTTTCTTCTCCCTAGATTGGTCTACCCTTTCCTGGCCTCTTTCAGGGGCCTCATAGATACAGCAAAGAAAAGAACACAGATAATTACACAGACTGTAGAGCCCTGTCATATCCTGTCTCCAGAGACACCTGCTTCTCCTTCCTGGGAGACACAGTTTATGGGTGCAGGTGGGGTGAAGGTCAACATTTCTTATATCTACATCTGGCAGCTTTCTTTCCAAGGTCTAATGGGTAATACATGTGGGATACAGATACACATACACCTTTCCACATACAAGGAGAGAGCTACCATTGGGTTATAAGAACTGAAACTACAAGAGACCAGTCAGCTAACTGTCCTAGTGGTGTCCAGACATATCCTCCAGGTGTCTCAAACTAGGGCCCAAGTTAGTGGATGTAGTGGGGAGAGTTGGGGTTACAGAGTAGGACTTACAAAGAAAATGGCCATCCTGGTCCCCAGGAGCTGCAGCTAGAATGCCCCCAAAGGCAAACTTCATTTGGCCTCCAATTTAAAGAGTTTCACAGCCCTAGAAGGTGTCAAGAGAGGAATCTGCCACATAAGAGATTTTCTCATTTCCTGATCAGTCTGAGGACAGAGGTCTGGCTCTCAGACCTCTGGTGACACAGGCCCCAGAAGTCTTTGGAATACAACCAGACAGTGTTTGTCTCCAGCCCTCGTTGATCAGGACAGGTAACACAGGAAGAGTAACTCACAGCTGCTTAGCCATGACCAGCATCCTTTGGGGTCCTTCACTGCTCTGGCTCTAGCTTCCTATCTTATACATGTGTAGTCTCTAAGGAGGGTTTCCGAGGAGTCTGATGAACCAGCTGGTGCCTCTCCACCCCTTCTCCTAAAGGCTTCAACATGTGCTCCCCTTAACTCCGGCAGAGAAGTTATTCAGAGCCATGGAGATATGGGTAAAGTTCAGGGTGTTCAGAAATTAAAGTACAAGAGACTGTGCATTTGAGGAGCCTGGCATGGTCACTGTCTCTCCTACAGTGGTAGAAAATTGTGTGTGAGAAGTTGTGCACGTGGGTGGAGGCCATTCTGGAGGGGGCCACAGATTCACTGTCGCAGTGGAGGTCAAGGTGCCGGTGTGGGGTGCATGCATACCTACGAGCATGCACACCTATGAGCATGCAACTACGTAAGGGGAATCGCTGCACCTCTCTTGAAAAAACTAGGTTACTAATAAAGGATGGACAGCAGCCTTGAGATCCTAGAACAGACAGGGGACAATGTTTACTTCAGTTTCTCTTCCCCTGTCCTTGCAGGCAGCCTGACAGGCCCTCCTAGCACTAAGCAGCCCTCACCATAGGTAAACAACACCTCTTAGAACTTAAAAAGCAGGTCAGGAAACTGGAGGACCTGGACAACTTCCAACTACAGGAAACAAGGGAAAGAAAAGACACCGAAAAAGACTAATGCTGGGGAACACTTTCACCTTTGCCTTGCTCACCCCTCTTCCAAAGCTCCTGGACCTGCAGTATGGTCAAAGGGTGCTGGGCGCAGTCATCTCCGTACTCGATGCATTTTGCAAGCCTGGATGGAAGCTAAGGCTGGGTTTGTTTTTAATTCTCTCTGCTCTGACAGCCACAACTGCACTGACCTCCAACTGAGAGGAATGGTATGGCAGAACTTCTTTTACAAAGTTTATTGCCCCTTACACCTCTGTTACAAGATTGCCTTAGAGCCTGGTGGGGAGGGAAGAACTCTAAGCCACACTGTGTAGCAAGCACTATTCTGGGTTAGAGACCACTAGATTCCAACCCTTCCAATAACAAAATCCCACACTTTGGCTTCGCAGCAGGAATGAGGCAGCTTTGTCAGCAGAGAGAAGATAAACGTTGGGTCCTGTCTATCTCCAGACTTAGTCTAGCTGAGCAGGACCGGACTTTACTGGACTCCTCCCTTGCAGAACAGCATAATACAGCAGGCTCAGAACCCCACCTGAGTTGATTAGAAGGCTGACTGAAGAGAGGGCACACACAGAAAATCAGGTAGGTCTGGCTGGCTGCTACATCAAAGAGAATTGTTTTCCTCATGCTTTCAGGGAGAGTGGCCCTTGTGCCACATTGGTGGCAGTCATCTATAAAGCTCCGCCTTCAGCATCCTCTACTGTGGTCCCAACAGACATACACTGGGAGTCAAAAACTAATCAAAGCTTTCCCCCAGCCAGGGAATTAGCCTACCTGGAATTTATGTCCTATCTACAAATTTTACGTGAAGACAGGGACCCCTTAATTCATTCTATATCTATCTGTGCCACTTGCCCCAGGACGAAGCACAGATACCACATCCTATATTGCTGCCATAACTAACAGGCAAGAGGCCAGACTCCTGCAAAAATCCACCTACTCCGGACTCCCGGGGAGAAGTCTCACAGCAGCTTCAGGCAGCGCCTCCATCTTTCCCTGACTCATTTTCCAAAGGTTTCCAATCCCCTAGCTCTGGATGGGACTTCCTGACCAGAGAAGACACTGCAGCGTCCCAGCATGGCTCCTGTGGAGGCTCCCCCAACACACAACTTCACAGGTGTGGGTGGGCAGAGACAGAAAAAAATTTGTTTTTCAAATGGTTTTCTCTTAAGGAGCTAAGGATGACCTCAAAAAAGTTTTGGGAATCTGCTCTTCCCCTCACCCCTTTCCTCATTCCCATCCAACTCAGATGCATCCCTCCTCCTCTACCACACTGAGAATAGCCAAGGCTTTGGGTAGGGGTGTGGTGTCTGCCTGAGAATTAATATATCCGCATGTGAAACTTGCAGCATCCACACTGTCACTGGGGTCGTGCCTGCTCTTGTGCCCATGACCAATTCCCTGGTGGTCAGGAAGAACCTGCTCCCTTGGGCAGCCAGCCCTCTCTTCCATCCCCTCCTATCCCTCAAGGGTACACTACCTCTCCTGGGGCAGAACCTCCCCACCAACCTATCCTGCTCACACCACAATGGGCGTATCAGAGAAGACCGAGCTGACCGACTCAGGATCTGACATCCTCCGTTGGCCCTTGCCTGTTGCCTCGGGCACTGGCAGAGTGTTGCCTGGCTTGAGTTTGCCATTTTGACCCTGCCCAGGTCCAGCAGGTTCCAGGAAGGCCCCCCGCCGGTCAAAACCATCATCTTTGTCCCCACCAGCCATAGGATCGTGGTTGGGTGTGGTACTGAGCATAGAAGAACTGAGGCTATCCCCTTGATGGCTGGAAGGTTTCTCTACACCCCGGCACCAACAGCGGCAAGGGGTGAGGTACAAGTATATGAGGACCAGAACCACACTGAGGATACAGCCCACCAGGGTGGTATAGGCTGTGTTGAGGGTATCATGGTGTCCGTGCAAGGTGAAGTTGTACACTTTCAACTCCACAGACAGTGTCTCATTGAAAGTCTCCCCCATGGCATAGCAGGTATACACACCCCCATCCTCGACCTGCACCTTTTCAAAACGAAGACTGCCATCCTCGGACACAGTCACTGTGCCATTGGCCCCCTGATTTAGCACCTGTTCATTGCTTGGTGTCACCCACACTTTGGTCATCCCTTGCTGTTTGGTATCACATGTGATGGTCAAGGTGTCTCCCAGGTGAGCCTCCCAGGCACTTTCCTTGTACTCGCTGCAATTGAAGAAATCCAGATTGAAGACATTGTGCGGCTTCTTGAAATGCATGCAGTATAGATCCTCCTGGAAGTCCATCACAGAACTCAGCTGCCGGTACTGCCAGTGTGAAAAGAGCTGGTAGAGCTTGCAGTCACATTCCAGGGGGTTGTTGTGCAGGTAAAGGCCATTCTTGACCCATGCTGGCAATTTCTGCAGGTCAGTGAATGGCAACTTCTTCAGCTTGTTGGAAGACAGATCCAAGAGCATTAGTTTGGGTAATTTGTTTCCATCCTTGATCAGTTCCAGAGGGAAGCGAGAGATCTGATTCTGGCTCAAGTAGAGTTTCTGCAGCTGGGCCATGTCCTCGAAGGCATACCGGTCCACCGCCATAATGCGGTTATTGTAGAGCAACAGCACTTCCAGTGCATGCAGATCGCTGAACAGGAACTCATCCAGTGTGTGAAGATGGTTGGAGGAGAGGTCCAGGTACCGCAGGTTGGGTACTGGGACAAAGGCCTCAGAGGAGATGAAGTTCAGGTGGTTGTGGCTCAGCAGCAGGGAGTGCAGGTTGATCAGACGGGTGGGGGTCCACTCGGCCCGTAGCCGGCTCAAGTTGTTATGGCTGAGGTCCAGAAGTGCTGTGTAGCTGGGCAAAGATTGGGGCACACTGGGCAGCTGCTGCTTGGAGCAGCTGAGGATGTTGCTGGCGCACAGGCAGTTGGCGGGACAGCTAACCACAGATCGGCCAGCCCTGGCCACCTCAAAGAGGAGCAGGAACAAGGAGAGCAGCAGGAGCCAGAGGCCTCGCAGGTCACGCGGGGGTTGCATAGTGTCACTGGGGAGAGCGAGGAAGGCCACTGGAAGATCTGGGAGGGAGTCACCCCGGCATGTTCTGGTGGAGTATGGAAGGGTCACTTTCACTACAGGCTTGAGAGAAAAAGGATGGGTTTGTTGTCACCAAGGACTCTGGAAGGATGGACCACCACTCCCCCTTTCCCCTCCCACCCCTGCCCCCAGCCCCTTGGTCGAGTAGAAAGAGGAAGCTATCCCGGGTAGTTCCCAGGCACAGTGCAGGCAGACTGTGGGCTCAAAATACTAGGGCATTAGAGGCATTGGCGCAAAGGCCCCGTGGGCTGGGGTCGCCGGGGTACAGAGTGAGGGTATGCACAGCGTGTCGCCTGCGGCGTGGTGGTGGGGTGTCACAGGGATTGCACACTGGAGGTCTGGAGGCGGGGGCAGCAGGGCCTTTCCCGAGGAGCCCAGGGAAGGTCAACAGGGTACCGGGCTAGGAAGGGCCGAAGGTTTCCGGGGCCTGTGACGCGGGCTCCCTCCCCAGAACCTCCGGTCACTGC